ACATGCTATTGGCTTATCGTTTGTATCTGAAGGGCAGTAGGCTGAAGATAACAGTGTACAAGGTGGGAAAAACCAGCTCAGAGGTGATGTTGCCGAGCTACTCTGCTCTCTGTACCTGCTCTCCACTGGGACTTCGTATAATCCTCAATAACTGTTTTTTATTTGGTCTTAGGGCTATCTGATACTTAAGAGCTGAAGGCATTCCAGCTGGCACAGAGGAATATTTTTCTAAGTGTTAATGTTCTATATGGTAATTGGGGGAAGAATTATTTCTTTTGACAAGTTAATATACGGATGGCTGTTTGTATCAGCCATGGTTCTTTCTGGCGGAAAACAGAATTCTCCAACTAAAAAGATTTTAATGGCAGACTGATTACAGTGGTGTGGGCCAGAAACAAGGGGCACTGAAACACCCAGAGACTTGCATCAGCAGGAAGCCATTACCATTCTGAGCCTTGAAGGGCAAGGATGGAAACAGTGTTACCAGAGCCCAGTAAGAACTGCTGTCATGGAGGAGGGGCCACCTTGTAAGAGACATCATTACTACCAGAACTGTGGTGCCAAATTGCTGGTGCCTCTCTTTGGAGAAACCAACCAGATACATCTGCGGGAGAGCCCAGGTGGGCACAGAGAAGGGTGGAGAGAGAATCTGGGAAGAGAAAAGGAGAATAAGCAGCACAGTGTTTTTCATTTCTGTAAATTCCTATGTAGAAGGCTCAGTGTTAGAAATAAAGTTACTCTACTAGTTGCAAGTTAAGTGTTTCTGTTTGTTCTCCTTTCCTATTGGCATAAGTAAACTCCCTTTGGAACCACGCAGGTATGTCTCTCCTTCAACATGTGTGAAGCAGACATTACATTAAATTACATTATTCATATGTCCCTGTGGTGTTTCTTATTGTATGTGGTGTAAGGTAAGCAGCTCTGTATCCTTCCAAATAAATAGCCAGTTGTCCCTGCACTGTTTGATTAATTCACCCTTTCTTGTGTTAATTTGATACATTTTTATTATGTACTTAAATATGTGTTATGAGTATTGCTTTTGACTGCTCAGTGCAACTTTTCTGCATTCTTCTAGTAATAGAACCTGTCATAGTGATCACGGGGTGGCATTTACCCCAATCCTGGCTCCACAGAGTACTGTGTCTTCATGTCCTCCACATTTGTATTGATCCAGAAATGGTGGTTTGTTACAAAAGAGGCCAGTGACAAGCCATCCTAGAATATTTTTATTGGGAGGTCACTGTAGACCAGAGAGTTTGTGTCCTTATTGCTTCCAGCAGTCATGTTGACAAAGTACATTTGCTCTGTAATCTACTGAAAGTCAGTCTGCAACACAAAAATGAAAAAAGAAAAGAAGATGGCTATGATAAGCACCATAAAGAAAAATCAAAATAGGAAAAGTCAGATACAAGGTTTGATTTTAGATAGGATGGAGAGGAAAAGACCTCACTGAGCAGGCTACATTGAGGGAGGAGTGATGTGGATGGTATCTCGAAGAATAGTGTGTTCACATGTGTGTCTCTAACACATGCATGTAAACCAAAAACTTAAGATTCTGTTTTATGAGATCCTTACCCTAATTACCTGTAATGTACTTTGTTGATATTTTCTCTTATACTGCATTCTATTAAAAGAAATACTTTTTCCCATATACTAAACTGATCTCACAATCAACAGTTTATCCTCCAGTGCACTCATGTTTAAACCAGGATGGGAATTGCTGGGTCATAGATTTGTGATTTCTGAAATGACTAATCACTCCCAGTGCCTGGAAATAGTTTTCTGATAAACTCCTAAGAGCCTGTTTTTGGAACTGGGCTTACTTTCTGTCTTGAAATTGCCTTTCTCTGGTCTAGTGGGCCCTGTCACTTCACACCCTACCTGTATTTAGCAGGGAAATGTGGAACTATTGCTTCTGGTAGGGTTCAGCCCATGGGTATCCTTGATGCCTTCAACCCCTACCCCTGTTTGCTGCTGGCAGCCAGAGACTGTAGCTGTGACTGCCCTGGATCCTTTCATCCTATCTGTCCTTTTCTGAGGAAGACTTACCTATTCTCCTTCCTGTTTTTCTGCCGCGTCTTCATCTGTCACCCAGTGACTGGACACTGCACACTCAACCTCCTCCTCTTGTCTGAGGAACTCCAACTCCCTTTTCCCAACCTACCTCTCTTCTCAGATCTTGCATTCCCAGGCTTCTCTTTCAGACAACAAAAAACCAATGTCTTCTCTTAGACAGCAGTTATGAAGAGCAAGGTCTCAGATACTTTGGGAGGTGAGAACTGATGACTAATATGAAGCTATGCCATGTTTGGAGTCCATACTTTGGTATGGCTAATGCTGTCTGTTACTGGTTTCTTTATCTACAGAATGGGGGTAGTTATCCTCTCTACAAAAGTGGGTCTTAACCATAAGCTTGCTTTCAGTAATAGCCAAAAATTCTCCCTTTACCAATCCCCTAAAGGAAGCTCAGGACCTCAGAAAAGAAGACAGGAGTTCAGAATTTCTTCAACTCAGACCCCTTGTAAAGGCTTACCCTATTCTTGTGGATCTCTGATAACATCCCTTAAAACAGAAAACGAACTTGGAGAAACTTGGCAGCCGTGACTGGTGCCCATGACATAGTGGGACTTCCTTAGCTTTCGCAGGCCTAGATTCCCCTGTGCTGATGTCTGCACCAGTTGCCGATATTGGGAGAATAAATATTCTTTGGAATTTGACAGATGAGTTCTCTTCAACCCACCTCACTCACATATTGGTTCACTTCCCTAAAGTAACTTGGTTTTTAGTTCTGTCTGGGCCTTTTTCCATGCACTGTAACCAATATATATGTGCCTGTAGAGAATTTATAACATACTGGAGTTTTATGGACATTTGAGTATTAAAAATCAAGAAATATGGTCAGAATATTAATCAAATGCTAGAATACATACAAAATCATAAGAGATTTGCCTTTAATTAGATCCAGGCATGACTGGAGAGTTGTAAGTTGTATTTTTAATTGCTTCTAAAGAGAAATAAATAGTAGTATCAGCTCAGCCACAGGAAATTAACCTTAGATGAATTGGTACTACTATTATGTATGGTTTTTAGTTTTCTCAGATGATTTGGTGATGTGTACACATATTATTGTTACGTTATTACAGTTAAATATATTTTAAAGTTCCTATAGAAATGTTGCCTAAGTTTTCAAACTGGTAATGTTAGTGGTAGTGATGAAAAACATACCTGAACATCAATAACTTTAGAAGAGCAGTCAGATGCTATCAAAGGCTGTGAAGAACTTTAACCATGAAACAACAGGGAGTTAGTTTAGTAGGTAATGATGAGGAAATAATACTCAGAATATAGACATTAAAATCACTGACATGACTTTACCACAGAAGTCATAGGGTTATACTCTCTGAAAATGCATTTTTCTACTTATTTATATGAGAAAATGAGTGAGGAAAATAGTACTTTCTGTTATGTGTGTTAGTTTTGTCAGGGGCTTTTGGTTTGACTTCTTATATTTCAGTGTCCTTTTAGGATACACACACACACACTTACACAATAGAAAAATAATGTATATGGTGAACTCATTTACAGTACATAACAGTTTTCCATCTTAGTTTTCCTATCCTTACCTCACCATTTTTAACAACTACTTAAAATTTCTCAACAATCATTTATCTACAATATTTTATCTACACCTACCAATGGCTCACTTTTAGGTAGTTTCCCATATTTTTACTCTTACAAATGAACATTATTGAGGTACACCTTTGAGCATATACCTTTCTACCCTTGTCCAAGTTTTTTCTCTCTCTCCCTTTTTTTTTCCCCCATCTGCACAGACACAAAACCACCAAGTTGTCTTCAAATTAATTTCTCAGAGTCTACTCTCTGGATAATAGGGGTTCTAATGAAATTGACTCCAGGAAGTCTGTATGGATTTCATTCCCATTCAAAGTTTGGAAATGTGACAGCTGGGTAGGGTGACTAATGCTTGTAATCCCAGCACTTTGGGAGGCCAAGGTGGGAAGAATGCTTGAGCTTAGGAGTTCAACACCAGCCTGGGCAATATGGTGAAACCCTTTCTCTACAGAAAATACAAAAAATTAGCCGGGCATGGTGGTGCACTATAATCTCAGTTACTTGGGAGGCTGCGGTGGGAGAATCACCTAAGCCTGGGAAGTTTAGGCTGCAGTGAGCTGTGATTGTGTCATTGCACTCTAGCCTAGGTGACAGAGTAAGTCCCTATCTCAAAAACAAAAGAAAAAGTTCGGAAATGTGGACCCACCATTGCCACAGTGGGTGCTGTTCTTTTTTGTTGTTGTTAAAAAATTCCAACCTTACTAATATAACATGATAAAATAGTTCTTAAACATTTTAGTTTCTAAATTTTCTACAGACATTGAACAATTTAAAAATATTGATTACACCTCACTTTCTTGATGTTGGCTTATATCAGTAGGCTCACTTTAACTGAGGTGCTCATCATTTTATAATAGCTAGTCATGGAAGATTATTAAGATTTTCTTGGTTTATGTGCTCTCACCAATCTAAGTACATAGTTTACCTTTTTACAGGAACAATGGAAACTTGTTTTTTTTACTTTATGAACAACATATCAACAGGATAGTCTTTCTCTTTTCTGGGAGGTATACTTTAAAATTTGTCTATGGGAATATATATATTTTTTAAGTTTTCAAATTACTTCAAGCTTTTAAGTAATTTTGTCTGGGTGCAGTGGCTCACACCTGTAATCCCAACACTTTGGGAGGCCAAGGCAGGCACATCACGAGGTCAGGAGATCGAGACCATCCTGGTATCACGGTGAAACCCCGTCTCTACTTAAAACAAAACAAAACAAAAAAAATTAGCTGAGCATGGTGGTGGGTTCCTATAGTCTCAGCTACTCGGGAGGCTGAGGCAGGAGAATGGTGTGAACCTGGGAGGTAGAACTTGCAGTGAGCCAAGATCGCGCCACTGTACTTCAGCCTGGGCAACAGAGTAAACAAAACAAAACAAAACAAAAAAAACTTTTAAGTAATTTTTTCCCTCTGCAATTGGTATGCAATCTTAACATTAAGATTAGAAATGCTCATTATAATTTTTAAACGCTTTGGTAGTTTAAATTTTATATTCTATGTGAAGTATATTTATTATGTGAGGTAAACATTTACACATACCATGTGATCTACAGAGAGAACCACTTACCCCAACGCCATTTATTAAATAGGCCTATTTCTCTCTACTTTGAAATGTCATTGTGATGGTTAATTTTATATGTCAACTTGACTGGGTTGTGGAGTGCCCAGATGCTTGGTCTGACATTCTTCTGGGTATATCTGTGAGGGGGTATTGGATGACATTAACATTTAAATCAGTAGACTAAGTAAAGCAGATGAACGTGGGTGGGACTCATCCAATTGATTGAAGGCCTGAATAGAACAAAAGTGCCAACACCCCTGAGTAAGAATTCCTACCAGTGACCTTCAAACTGGACATCAGCTTTTTCCTGCCTTTAGACTCAATTGAAACATTAGCTTTTCCTAGGTCTTGAGCCTTCAGATTGGAACAATACTCTCAGTCCTCCTGGGCCTCGAGTTTGCTAACTCAACCTGCAGATCTTGGGACTTGCTAGCCTCCATAATCAGGTGAGCCAATTCCTTATCATAAAGCTCTTTCTATATGTACATCTTATTGGTTCCATTTTTCTGGAAAACTGACATAGCCACCATTATCACATACTGAATTCTTACATGATCTTAGGCCTTTACATATTTTTTTTTTCAGACTCTGAAATACTTAGTTTATTCTAGCCATTAAAGATGCATCTTTGCCCCAGTGCGGTGGCTCACGCCTGTAATCCTAGCAATTTAGGGGGCCGAGGTGGGTGGATCACCTGAGGTCAGGAGTTCGAGATCAACCTGGCCAACATGGTGAAACCTTCTCTCTACTAAAAATACAAAAATTAGCTAGGCGTGGTGGCACGTGCCTGTAGTCTTAGCTACTCGGGAGGCTAAGACACAAGAATCGCTTGAACCCAGGAGATGGAGGTTGCAGTGAGCTGAGATCATGCCACTGCACTCCAGCCTGGGCGACAGAGCGAGACTGTCTCAAAAAACAACCAAAAAAAAAAAAAAAAAAAAGATCTCTAGTTAAGCTTCGGTCTGTATCTTCACAAAATTCTCGACCCCCCTCATTATTTCACATAAAATTTACATTTGTTCTAGCAGCAGTACAAAAGATTTGAAAATACAGAACGTTGTTGAGAATTTGTTTGGAATGTTGTGACATAATGTGCATAATTTTTTTTGTTCAAAAAATGATTAGTTCCTGTTCCTTGCTTTTTGTTTTGTTTTTTGTTTGTTTGTTTTTTGTGTTTTTGAGACAGAGTCTCGCTCTGTCACCAGGCTGGAGTGCAGTGGCGTGATCTTGGATCACTGCAACCTCCGCCTCTTGGGTTCAAGCGATTCTTCTGCCTCAGCCTCCCGAGTAGCTGGGACTACAGGCACATGCCACCATGCCAAGCTAATTTTTGTATTTTTAGTAGAGACCGGGCTTTACCATGTTGGCCAGGATGGTCTTGACCCCTTGACCTCGTGATTGGCCCACCTCGGCCTCCCAAAGTGCTGGGATTATAGGTATGAGCCACTGCGCCCGGCAACTATTTGCATTTTTTAAGGTGTCATTCAATAAACTTATAGTTTCCTTTACATAGCCTGCACATTTAATTCTATATGTTTTTTAGAACATGTAAACATCTTGACCAAGTTTTATAGTTTCCTTCACATAGACCACACATTTATTTAATTCTAGATATTTTTTAGCACATGGAAGCATCTTGATCAAGCTTGTCTAACCTGTGGCCCATGGGCTGCATGTTGCCCAGGATGGCTTTGAATGCAGCCCAGCACAAATTTGTAAACTTTCTTAAAACATCATGTGTAGGGAGACCCCCTGAAACTGTTGCTACGGAATAAAAGATGAAATGCTTCTGATTATTGTAAATTCAAAATTGCATGCAGGATTGTGTAAAGACCATGCCAGGTTGGACTGTCAGAATGAGCCAACAGCACGTGATGTGCTTCCCCCTGCAGAGAGCCTATGAATGGACGTGCAGTCAGGGAGGTTTCACATCACCAAGATTCCTATCCCGGAAAAGCAGATGTTTATAGCTGTGGGAATGGAATGCGACCCTCGTGGAAAACCTATAAACAGGCGCATGGGGGCCATCTGTCCATATGGATAAGATAGGGCTATAAATGCCCTTATCTTGCCGTGGCTCTTCTAGGCCTCTTTAGGGTTCATACTCCCTTCTGAGAATTTCTGGTCTAACTGATTGTCTAACTTCACGTCCTGTTTCTATGAATTGTTTGTAACCAGCTTTTGCTGCAACTGTTACTGTTGATTAATATCTTGCTAATCATAGGTTATGGAAAGACCGTGTTCCTGTTTTAAGGCTCTGTTAGAAATTAAACTTCACCTCCTGTTTCTATGAACTGTTTGTAATGAGCTTTTGCTGTAACTGTTACTGCTGTTCCTGTTTTAAGGCTCTGTTGGAAATTACTGATGCACACACTATGTTGTAAATTCTTATCTCTGTATACTGTACTTCTCTGTACAGATGTTATGTTAAAGAATTACTTCATCCCCATGTGACCATCTCACCACATAATCAAATAACCCTAAATTCGTCACTAACGTACCCCCGCCCTCACTAAACTCAATAATAAATGCTGGCATATCCAGGGCATTGTTGGCACCACGGGACCAGAAGGCTGTGACCCCCCTGGACCCAGCTTTCACTATCTTGTGTGTGTCTGTTATTTCTCGACCTGCCGATCCGCCTGGGAGCAAAGAGAGAGCCCCGTTGCATTGCGGACTGCTGGCCAGTTCCCACAATAATTATGAGCTTTTTTTGTGTGACTTTTATTTTTTTTAGCTCATCACCTGTCATTAGTGTTAATGTATTTTATGTGTGGCCAAAGACATTTCTTTCTTCCATTGTGGCCCAGGGAAGACAAAAGATTGGACACCCCTGATCAAGATTGGACACCCCTGATCTTGACTATATTATTATAATGACTATAACAGAGGTATTTTATTAATATGTATTTAATACATGTATATTTACTACTGAAGATTCTCGTGGTACATAGTTCAGTGAAGAAATTATCACAAAGCATCATGCCTTTTGTAAAAATGTCAGACTTTGCACTTAAAGTGAATGGAGAGGATGAATCATTTCTTTTAGATTATGTTTTCTGATTTTTTTTCTTTTTTGTTTAATATATATGTAATTTTTCCAAGTTGATATATTTTGCAACCTGGGAAAAAAACAGTCATGGAGATGACACTTTAATTGTTGGTCTCGTTTTCAGCTTTATTTAAATGTTTTTTCTGTGTTCACAAGTGAAATTGATAAACAGTTTGTGGTAGCTTTCTACGTAGACACAGGCTGTTATTTAAGATGACTCCAGACCATGTCCATTGTGATTCTGAAGGGGCAAGGCCTCCAGGGAGAGGAGATTAATTTGAGCAGCACCAACTTATTACAACTTTTGGAATGATTGCTACCAAGTGTCTACAGTGGCTCATGGGACACTAAATTCAGCAATGTGATGATTTGGGCCTCTGACGACACAGGGAGGGGAAGGCATAGCCCCTTGTGTGGGGCTTATGTTGTCTTCAGCTTCTGAGGGAGCTGATTACTGAGCCTCCAGTCTTCAGCCTTTATCCTTTGGAGAACTGGTTCTGGGCATAGAACTGGTTCTGGGCAGAGAACTGGAAAGGAAGTTTGTGCACAATTGGAATTGGTTTGAGGGGAGTTCGGTGGTATTTAGTAGTTAGAAAAGGTGAGATTAGCTTATAGTAGATGGGATCCAAAACTCCAAATGACTGTCATTTGTGTCTGTTAGCATCTTGGGTTTTCAAGCCTGTCCTGGATGTAGGTAAAGGCCTTTGATGATAGGCTGTGCTCCAGGATCAGGGTTGAAGAGGGAGTAAGGGTAGGGACTGGGACTGAGCAGTGGGTTGGCTGTGGTTGCATTTGTTGCTTTCTTTGAGGAAAGCTCCCTGTGTAAGTGGCCAAGTATGTTCAGTAAAATGTGTAGGCCTTAATTCCAGAAGAACTGCACCTCTGCAGCTGTCTATACTGGGGAGTGAGGCTCTTGAATGTGATTGAAGAGTTGTTAAAGGCCATCTAGTAACAGCTGGACTGAGAGGTGTGAACAGTCCATAGTAAAGCACACTGTTCAAGAGCACGGACTTTGGAGTCAGTGAGGCCTGCATATACATCCACCACACTTAACACATATGTGACTGGACAAGTAATTTAACTACTGAAAACCTCAGTTTCTTCCTTTCTAAATGTGAATGGTAGTAGTACCTACTTTGTGGGGTTATTCTGAGAGTTAAATAAGATAACCAAGGAAATCCTAAATATATTCATCCAACCAATAGGTATAAGTCATTTTCATAGTTGCTTAGGAGTTATTTCTAAATGAAACAGACAAAACTCTCTGCTTTTATAGAACTTATTTTCTAGTGGGGCAATAAATATAAAAAGTTACCATGACTTCCACAATGGCAGCATGAGGACCTCTGTAGACCTACTTCTCAGTAAAGTGAGCATAACTGATGAAAATTATATAGGTCTTTGGGATCCCAGAGCACCTTTAGTCCCTGGAGACGCTCTGCCAGCCAGAAGTGATGGAAGAATTGTATAGCCTGGACCCACAACGGCAGGAATTATTGGAGGCCAGGTTTACTACAGTAGGTGTTAGTAAGGAAAACTAGAAAAGAAGAGGAAAAAACAATAAATCGATGCAAGAAGAAATAAATATATTGCAAAACAGAAGAATGGGAAATATTCAAGAGTTGGAAAATCAGGAAACAAAAGGCGAAATGAAGGAGAGTACATCAGATATAACGAAAGGGACCACTTAATAGTGAGTCTTCCAATCAGAGCTTATGCAGTGTGGGATCCTTGAGTGATAAAGAAGTAGAGACTCCCGAGAAAAAGCAGAATGACCAGCGAAAGCTGAAAAGAAAAGCTGAACCATATGAAACTAGCCAAGGGAAAGGCACTACTAGGGTACATAAAATTAGTGATTACTTTGAGTTTGCTGGGGGAAGCGGGCCAGGAACCAGCCCTGACAGAAGTGTTCCACCAGTTGCACAATTCTCACCGCAACATTCCTTATCCAGTCCCTTACTGCGATGCGTAGAGCAGCCCCTCTGTGGTTTAGATGGCAGCGCTACAAAGGAGGTGATGGAGGAGCAGTCTGCTCTGCCAACAGCTTCATGTCAGCAATGATAACAAAACCTCGGCTTGACACAGAGCAGCTGGCACAAAGGGGAGCTGGCCTCTGCTTCACTTCTGTTTCAGCTCAGCAAAACAGTCCCTCATCTACGGGATCTGGCAACATGGAGCATTCCTGCAGCTCCCAAAAACAGATCTCCATCTGGCACAGACAGACCCAGTCCGACCTCACTATAGAAAAAATATCTGCACTAGAAAACAGTTAAGAATTCTGACTTAAGAAGGAGGGAAGAATAGATGATTTATTAAGAGCCAACTGTGATTTGACACAGATTGATGAACAGCAAAAGATGCTACAGAGATACAAGGAAGATTAAATAGATGTGTGACAATGAGCAAGAAAGTCCTTATAGAAAAGTCAAAAAGAGAAGATGGAATGTAGAGATAAGAGCATGCAAGACCACTTGAGGTTGGACCACTTTTCTACTGTCTGACAAGGGACCTCTTTTACTGAACAGTGGACAGATGGTTATGCTTTTCAGAATCTTACCAAGCAACAGGAAAGGATAAATTCACAGAGGGAAGAGATAGACAATGGAATATGTTAGCATTTTCTACTGTCTGACAAGGTACCTCTTTTACTGAACAGTGGACAGATGGTTATGCTTTTCAGAATCTTATCAAGCAACAGGAAAGGATAAATTCACAGAGGGAAGAGATATACAATGGAAAATGTTAGCAAAACAGAAACCTCCTGCAATGAGTCAGGACCCTCCTGCAACCAGTGAGCAGAAACAGCGGAAAAGCAAGACCAATGGAGCTGAAAATGAAACGTTAACATAGCAGAATACCATGAACAAGAAGAAATCTTCAAACTCAGGTTAGGTCATCTTAAAAAGGAGGAAGCAGAGATCCAAGCAGAGCTGGAAAGGCTAGAAAGGGTTAGAAATCTATATATCAGGGAACTAAAAAGGATACATAATGAAAATAACTCACAATTTAAATATCACCCAACAGTAAATGACAGATATTTGTTGTTAGGTCTTTTGGGTAGAGGAGGTTTCAGTGAAGTTTACAAGGCATTTGAACTGACAGAGCCAAGATACATAGCTGTAAAAATTCATCAGTTAAATAAAAACTGGAGAGGAGAAAAAGGAGAATTACCACAAGCGTGTATGTAGGGAATACCGGATTCATAAAGAACTGGATCATCCCAGAATAATTAAGCTGTATGATTACTTTTCTCTGGATACTGATTCGTTTTGTACAGTGTTAGAATACTGTGAGGGGAATGATCTGAACTTCTATCTGAAACAGCACAAATTAATGTCACAGAAAGAGGCCCGGTCCATTATCATGCAGATTGTGAATGCTTTAAAGTACTTAAATAAAAGAAAACCTCCCGTCATACACTATAACCTCAAACCAGGGAATATTCTTTTAGTAAATGGTACAGCGTGTGGAGAGATAAAAATTACAGAGCTTGGCCTTTTGAAGATCATGGATGATAGCTACAATTCAGTGGGTGGCATGGAGCTAACATCACAAGGTGCTGGTACTTATTGCTGTTTACCACCAGAGTGTTTTGTGGTTGAGAAAGAACCATCAAAGATCTCAAAGGTGATGTGTGGTCGGTGGGTATGATCTTCTATCAGTGTTTTTCTGGAGGGAAGCCTTTTGGCCATAACCAGTCTCAGCAAGACATCCTGCAAGAGAATACTATTTGTAAAGCTGCTGAAGTGCAGTTCCCACCAAAATGAGTAGTAACACTTGAAGCAAAGGCGTTTATTCCACGATGCTTGGCCTACCGAAAAGAGGACCCCATTGATGCCCAGCAACTGGCGTGTGACCCCCTACTTGCTGCATCATATCTGAAAATTGGTCTCTGTGAGTAGCCCTGCTGGAGCTGCTATTGCATCAACCTTTGGGGCGTCCAATAGCAGTTCTTCGAATTGAGACGGACTCCAAGGTCACAGACTGTTCAACACGCACAAAGTGGACAAATGGCATTTAGCAGCAGGTTTGGAACATAGCAATTTTGAATGGATCTGAGGAAACCTGAACCAGGTGCTTATTTTCTTGCTTTTTTCCCATCCATTGAGCATGACTGCATGAATTCTTTTTAAGGAGACACCATGGGCAGCTCTGGACAGGCCTGGTAGGAAAAGGCCCCGCCCAAGGTTCTGGTATCAGTGGCCACTGTGTGTGGCTACTCTGACTGAGGAAAAAATTAAAAAGAAAAACTGGTTCCGTGTACTGTGAATTTGAAAACATGCAGACTCAGGGGGGTCCCTGATACAGTGCTTCAGATGAAGAATGTGGACTTGAAAATACAGACTAGATGACTGGGTGCGGTGGCTTACGCCTGTAATCCCAGCACTTTGGGAGGCTGAGGCAGGCGGGTCACAAGGTCAGGAGATCGAGACCATACTGGCTAACACGGTGAAACCCTGTCTGTACTAAAAATACAAAAAAATTAGCCAGGCGTGGTGGTGGGCACCTATAGTCCCAGCTACTCAGGAGGCTGAGGCAGGAGAATGGTGT